CGGTCTGAACCAGGAGTGAGTTTGTGTAGATAAATAAGTTACATAGCTTACCGTATCAGATCCCGCCCCAAAGAGTGATCCGGCGAGATACGACATCTCATCTGTAGAGAGTTGGTGTTCTTCAGTGTTCTCCAATAGTGTTTTAATGAAAGAGGGGCCAGCTTTGTTTTGATCCTGCATACAACAAGATATAAGTGACATACGTTTGTCGAGACGGAAAGCTCCTTACGACTTCACTCTTGACGCGCCCTAGCTGATGCCTAAATAACTCAAGTTCCTCACGATGCCACTCATCGAGTTGTTTTCTGTAACCAGGCAAGTAGCGCAAAAGGGGCATACGATCGACGAGATAAGCTCCTGGGAGGATCGTGGCATGAAAGTGCTCAACGACTTTGTGGATACGGACAACTTCGGGATCGGCGTTGGCAGTGGGCGCGGACTTCCCATAAGCCACCCGAAGAATGACTGATGCTGCATACCTTGAGGTACCATATCCATGAAAGGGTCACAAAAGGCCTGGTAGTGACGTACCGCTGTGCGTGCTTCTGGTGGTTCATCGGGTCATTCAGCACATCCAATATAAAATCCATCGCGTTCTCGCGCTGCATGTCTTTGTATGCCTCTGCCGCCTTTGGCTGTAAATGAGGGTGTACTGCTTTCCGGAGGCGCCGGAAGCGTTCTCCGGAACGAGCCATGGTGATACGCATTCCATTTGAGAGCATCTCACCCGCGGCAATGGACCGAGGTCGATCTGCCAGTGATGCACCTTCTTTCTCCATGATGTCTGCGGCTGCCTGGTAAATGGGTCATTATCGGAGGAAGCTCAAGGTAAGGGCAGATTACCTCCATGGTGCCAATGACAATTATTACTTGGCTACCTTGGCGGAACGACACAATTGGCCCATATTCTCGAACCAAGTTGGTCAACGTATAGACAATGCTGAGTGAACGATCTACATCAACCTCTAATTTCTTGTGTGTAACACTGCCAAAACTCACTTCACAGCAGGTAAAGCGTTGCTCCAGAACCAATGTGCGGGAGGTCCAGGTGGAAGCGGGATGCCTTTCCTGCTCGATAACGAATTTTTTTTGTATAGCACGAAGAGTACCGCTACAAATGCGACGACGCCAGCGGCATAGTTAGCACTCCTGGTGAGAGCTTCCAGCATCATGTAATGCGGGATAGAAGTGAAACTCCAATGTCTGAATCGACGTGGAACGTGGGTCTGATAAGCAGTGCGTGTTCAACATCTTATAGTGTCTGGCACTCGGCCTGTTATCCGACATCCAATCGAGATGCACCACTGCGATGATATGGCGTAATGAGAATAGGAAGGGAAGTAAACGCTGATCGGCTAGCTTACCGTATGGCAATCTCGATGGCGCACTCACCGCCATTTCAGCTGTCTCTGGAACAAGTATTAGCCAACATAACAATAATCCGGTGAGATGATCAAGCCAATCCTGACAATCGCTACGCTTCTAGGAGAATCGATCAAGCTGTTCATCTGCAACTGTTATTACCACGTGTTGGTAAACATTCCAAATTACGGACAAGGATATGTGTAAGGAAGAGGAGTTCGCTTGATCATTACAAGCGATGTGCTCCTCGGGTAAGTCAGCCACTGAGGCGGAGTAATCTTCAGCCATGGAGTCTCCGGGGCGTGAGAGCGTCACTTACACTAACAAACCAGGGTTCGGCGATGCCGATTTTCACCTTGCTTGCCTGCACCATATTGCGATGATATTATTCATGGTAAGCTGAGGGCATCATCGAGTTCCATAGACTTCGACGTGGATATATGTCAGTGGATGTGACGGTTCAGAATTGAAATCGTTGTTATTTAATGACATTTGTGTATATTTGGCCAGGTTAGTGCCAGTCGCCGTTAGATTTCGAGGGGTGGCATATGACCTTGCAAGCAATGTGGCTACAGTGCCTGACCTGAAGCCAAATCAAAGACTTGTTGGGCTACAAAATTGGTCAGGACTTCTAATGTGAAAAATAATGGTGCTTCAATATACTAGGAAATAATCCAATGAGTCCGTCTTATTTTTGTAATCAAGGAAGCTGCGTGCGTTTTATGATTGCTCGAGCATTTAACGGACGTAAGAGGGCCACGCGTTTCCTGATCGTAACATCAAATCAGACAGTATTTCACTAAACCCCTTGTAGATGCTCTATTTTTCAAATACCTCAGAATCTTCAAACAAATCGCCGACCTGAATGCGCCATCTCGTGTGCATATTGTCTCGAGAAATATCGAATCAACCCCTGCTGGTAAATCCACCTACTCCCGGGCCATGTGCACCTTGTGACAGGTAGCACATCCCTACACCGTGCCCGTACCCATGGCCCCCATACCTATACTAGTATGGTACTATCAGGGAGAGTGTTGGACACGACCGTCGTGTGAATGGACCTGTCATGATGATCGACGGATTGACTCGAACGGTCTGGCGTTTGAGACTTCGCGCAGAGATGAGTTAACAGAGGTGGCATCTCTCCGGTTGGACCCCGTACGCTTCCGACGGGTCATTAAAAAAGTGGGACTTGACACAAATGAGCTCCACTCCCCCACTGTGGTCGATGGTTTGACAAGGTGAAGTGGTTTTCTACCAACCGCAAGTCCGCCATGCATGGCGACGTCAGGGATCAGCGCTAGTTTGAGCCTGAAAGTACTGTATTGAACATATAAACTTATCACAAAAAAGGATGACTCCGAAATCAAATGATCGTTACCGACAGTTACCAACGACGAATCTTCAGCATGGCATCAGTGGATTCATGTGCACGAGTCCTTGACGAGTCTTGACATTGTAGCCATGGAAGCTATAGAACAATTGTGCTGCCGGAGCAGTTGGTGAGGATTGTGACAGTGCTACTGGTCACTGCAGACTTCAATGCACTCTTCATCTCCCTTTGTGGAACTGTCACTCAAATCCTGGATATCTGCTCCTCCCCTGATGTCCTCCACAGGCATCGCTCGCTTGCCTCCAAGGAACACGCGTCCACCAGGCGCATCCTCCAAAGACCTCACTATCACATCCTCCTCAAACAAATACTTGATGTCCTCCAACGCATACCCCTTCGTTTCTGGCAAGAAGAGATACGTCCACGCTGCCATGATCATGCAGCACACGCCAAAGAGCAGGAATGTCCCATACGTGATCTTCTCCAGCATCACCGGCGTCAGGCGTGATATCGTGAATGAGAATAACCAGTTGATGCTGACCGCAACTGTGAGTGTGGCTGGGCGGACATGATTTGGGGCAACTTCGCTGGCCACGACCCACGGCAGAGGCCCCCAGCCGATACAGAAAAATACTGCGTAGAGATAGACGGCGATGATTGACACGTAACTCGCAGGTACAATAGTACTCTGGGGGTGGATGGCGCCGAAGCCGCCAATCCAGAGCATAGACAAACCTTGCCCCACAGCGCCCACGAAGAGGCACAGCTTGCGACCCCAGCTTTCCACAGCGAATACCAGGGTAAGACCGACTGTGACGACTTTCACGAGACCGTATATTCCTGTTGCAAATAGGCCAGATGCTGTACTGGTGATCCCAAGCGCAGCAAAGATCTGCGGGCTGAAGTAGTTGATAGCGTTTGTACCAGTCCATTGCTGGAAGAAGGTGAGGATGGAAGGAATCGAGCAGCGAAGCGCAATTTGACGTGACTCTCCCATCATGCGGAACTGGGAGACCAAAGATGTTCGCTGCTTGCCGATGAAGTCCGCTTTGATCTCGTCAAGTGTAAGAAGAACGACGCTGTCATCGACTGATGTTCGAACAACATATGCAAGCGTCCTTGCGGCCTCATCGTAGCGCTCCTGCTCAACCAACCAACGGGGTGACTCTGGCTGTGGAATCATAAGGAGGATGAAGAGAACACCCGGGACAAGCTGGACTACGAAAGGCATACGCCATTGCATGTCGCTATATGGGATGTTGATAGAAGCACTGTAGTTCACCCAGACTGCAACACATATTCATCAATCCAAGGTTACTTCATCTATAAATGGATAGTACGTACAGCTCAACATCATGCCGATATTGTTAGAGAACTGGACAAGGCTGGTACACCTCCCCCTGATGTGTCTGGGCATGCACTCTGATATATATGAGGGAGCTAGAGCGGATACCATGCCCACCCCGATGCCAGCAAAGACGCGGCCAAAGTATAGTACTCGAAGAGCGACAGCCTGGCTGCTTCCGAGGCCAGCAACGCATTGAATCATGCTTCCGACGATGTATATGACGCCCGAAGCAATCAGAGATCGTTTCCGCCCAAAGCGACTACACGTCCAACTAGTCAATAGGACACCAAAGCTGAAATTTCAAGAAAATAGCATGAGTAGCGAAGCGTTCTATAGTCTCGATAACATACATGCATCCGGCCTGCATAACTGACACGATATTTCCATTGAAATTGGCTTGACCAGATGCGGACAACTTATCGATACCAAAGTACTGCTGGAAAGACTCGAGGGTTAAAATGCCACCCATAAGTCCAGTGTCCCAACCGAAGAAGATAGAGCCCATAGATGCAGACAGGGCGAGGGTGTATGCATTACGATAACGCGAAATATCTGCTAGTGCATCTTTGAACCCCATGGCGGAAAGCAGATGAAGCGAGCAGAAGCAGTACTAGTAGGCGCTTTTATAGTCCTGCGCGAGCCCATCGTGCTGGCTGGGCCCTAGGTCATTAATGTCCGAAGTAGAGGTAAATCCAATCGAGTTGGAAAATTCCGGTAAATCGACACAATTCGGCACTAACAAGTTGAATTCCGAAGTGTACCTCGATTTACGACACGGAAACGAGTTTGGGAGGGAGTCCAGTGCTGTTACTAGCCCAAGAGTTATAACTTACAGTCATTAATGCAGAACGCCAGGCCTAAACGATATAACAACTACATACGCAGCGGTGTTTAAATTCTGGGTCAACTGGTGTAAACCCTCGTCAGACTCGTCTACACATCGTTTCTGAAATTATTGCAATCGAAACCTCGCCACCACAAATCTCCCGCAGGCAGTCGATCTTGCATTTCAGTAGGGAGAGTATTTGGTTGTCACTCGATACATGCCTCAAGGAATTGAGAAATCACATGAGTGATACTGAGAATAGGCAATAGCTTGCAGGCGTTGCCCATCCCCATATCATCGTCTGCGCGACTCAGGGTCGCTCACCATGTCTACGGCCATGGAAATTTGTGCTCCTGCCTCTTCTCAATCGAGCAGTCCTGCTACCAGCCTACCCCTACCTTGAGCTGTAGAGCGCCAAGACCCGTCGGTGATTTTTTCAAGAACATAGATACCCACCCCAAAGGCTGTCCCTGTTATAACATCTGATCACTATCTGATTCTCCTCAGGCTCCCATGGATGAGGTAAGCCTTCCGATGCCAAAGAGAAGAGCCTATCATATAGGCCGGCAAGACAAACCGTGTCAAAGCTCTTGTGTGTTCCGCCCTCCTCTTGTTAGGGAGCGTTTTCCTCACCAACTTTAACGACTGTTGTTCGATATCCGTTCCCCAATATTGTCAACTCTCAACTCCAAGCCGATGGATCCAAAGGTACTGGTGAGCAGGTCCGAGGTGAGAATTCTGCCGTATTCTTGAACTGACTCTGGTCCTTCTCTTAGTTTTCATGGGTACCCATGCTAAGGTACAGGCCTACAAATTATTCTCCATTCGGTCTGGGATCTACATAGATGACAGGGATGCTCTTCTGCCCATCTATATAGATCTCATACTCCCGTTTATAAGCATTTTCTTCTAACTAGTTGATCTGTAGGTCTTGTTCTTTCTTTAGCAGTGGATCTCTGCGATTGCAAAATCAGACAAGCGGCCTAATAGCGACAATGGCCAACGTTTTGGAGAAACAAGAACATGGTCTTTATCGCAGTTGGGAAACCAGTTGCTGATCGCTGGTTCGACAAGTTCGCGTGAGTCTTCTCATTGGAATATACCAAGTGATGAAGAACCAGGAGGTATTCTTATTGTTTCATTCTGATAGCGATGACAAGCTACACAAACACATGACAAATCCATTCTCGCTTTCAGTACCAGTACCCTTTTAATCAAGTTGTCGGCTGTCTCGACAGCATTCCTGAAGTCTTCCCGTCTCGACCGGCTTTTTTTTTTTCGTGTTCTTTCCATTTCGCACGAACAAGCCTGGCTATGTATATTTCAGACGGCATTTTCACATAGAACACCGTTAACCACAAAACAATCGACTGCGCACCCTCTGCACGCACCTACCCATCTAAAAGGTAAGAGCCCATAGCATCTAGCACCACTCCATGCGAACGCCCCCATGAGCAGCCTGAGGGATACGACTGAAACTTGAAGGATAATGAACACAACAACGCATTATCTTTTAACGTAAAGGGCTGTCCCAGTCTAATAACATGCCAAGATAGACAAGCGAAGAAGCTTCAGCTTCTTCGCCACTTCGAGGCAAGGGATAACCAACGATCCGCCTCGACGAGCTATTTTAAACCCACGGCGAGTGGTTTTGCTGCTTCTTCCGGTCCGTAGCACTTATCTTGCCGGCAGGTTTATACCAGATCTTCACAGAGGCTGGGCTTAGTTGGGCATCTGTGATTATTGTTTTAATCATCTCTCCCCCGCTGTACTAGTACGCCACGCTCAGCTCGTGATCGACGATGTTGTCAGAAGAAAGTCCTCTGCTGGCTACCACTACGCATGAAGTTATTTATGACAGATTCGCACCAGATCAAAAGAGGTGGATCGTGTTTCTCGTTTCTTTTGTGGGATTTTTGCCTAGTAAGTACTGGGAGTCAAAAAGTACATACTGCTGATGCAGAAGCGATGCTGACGAGCGTCGATCAGCGTTTGTCTCATCGACATTCGTGCCTTCCATCCCTCAGATAGCTAAAGATCTCAACTCGACGCGTGCTGTCGTCAGGTGCGTGTTGTATGTTCATCTGATGCAACATTTAGCGATCGAGCGATTTTCCCAGCTTGACCGTCAGTCTATCGATTTTAGCGAGTGCTGTCGGGGCGTTGGTTTGGGCTGCTTACTCGTCCTTCTGTGCGTGCATCTATAGCGTGTCATGAGCTAATGTGTGTTTGAAGTCTTAACAACAGTCCTGCAGATGGACGCCGACCAATATATCTGTGGGGGATGCCGTTTCTATGTGTTGGGAGCTGTGGTGTCGCGCTGTCGACTTCATTGCAGAGTCTGTTATTCTGGCGATTCGTGCAGACGTTTGGATGCGCTGGGGGGATGTCCCTGGGTGCTGGTGTTATCGGCGATATTTATAAATTAGAGGAGAGGGGAACGGCTATCGGGGTATTCTTTGGTGTGAGAATCATGATGATTGAATGATTTTATCCGTTTGATACTGACACGACTGTTTCAGGCCACACTTTTGGGTTCGCTGTTTGCACCGTTTCTTGGAGGTAAATATATTCTCAGTGTTATGCATGCAGACTCTAGCCACTAGCGATCTATTTGAACAGGTGCTGCGACGCAGTATTGGTCCTGGCGGCAATTTGCATTATTCCATTGGTGTATTGGGTTTGGTCGAGATGCTTCTTCTGTACCTTTCGTTTTCCTGAGACGAGCCATCCCGGCACATTGGGTATCGATAAACTAAAGCATCGGAGATGGATCCATATCACATGGATTAATCCTCTGAGAAGTCTCTGGTTGCTTCGGAGTCCAAACCTATTTGCGGTTGTGAGTGCATTTACCGTGTACGTTGCTCACTGGTTGCAAACCCTTGATTATGTGCGGGATTAGATGCTTGCGGCGAGTCTAGTGCTCATTAGTGACTTTGGTGCGTCGATACTGGCTGCGCAGTGCATTCTCACATCGAGCAATAACAGTTCTCCTTGTACCGCTGGCGTATACAATTGTAAGCTGACAATTGTCTTCCGTCTCGCATCCTGATCGTGGTGCAGGGCGTCCGGTATAGAATCACGAACGAGGCCATCATCGGGGCGTGTTTCCTCCCAAATGGACTGGGAAACTTCAGTAAGCACAATGTGTGGTACTCATATTTCACTGACGCGACCTTGACAGTTGGAGCGCCGGTTGCTGGCCGCCTATCAGACATTGTGCTCAGAAGATGGCGGGAGAAGCGCGGAGGAGTGTGGTGTCCCGAAGACCGCTTGAGAGCGACGTGGATCGGAGGGCTGTTCATGGTCCCGTTGTCCGTTGGGGCGTCCGGGCTGATCACGACGTATGTTGGGGGGCCGATCGGCCTTGCGTTGAATCTACTGTGCCTTCTCACAAATGGGATGGGGGTAAGTCCTCCCAGCTAGATCCTCTCACCCCATGCCTATCATTTTACTGGTTCCTATAGGTCGACTTCGTGGTGAATCCCATTGGTTCTTATAATGTGGACGTAGTGCATTCTCGAAGTGCAGAGGCCATAGCTGCTCACATGTCAGTCTCCGTGATGTTGCGTGACTATCAAAGTTGAACTCATTATTTACCTCAGGGCGAGCAGGTCACTTATAATATCCGCTGCGACTGCTCTCGTCATTCCAACAATCGAGCGCATAGGTGTTGCGTGGACGGATATCATTGCGGCTGTCCTTGCGGTCGTTGGACAAGGGTGGGGGTCTTTTTTCACTGTAAGATCTGGGATACTAACATAGAACCGCTTGAAAATTTCTTTTGTAGGATCATTCTCTTGACGATTCGTTATGGTGATCGCATGAGGGCGAGCATGGACGTTGGTTTCTCGACCATGGAGAATAATTGACCTATTGATCTGAAGGGAAGGATTGAATTAGAATCGATGTGTCAAGCTGGCAGGTGTATGTACATAACAGCCTGCGGCAAAGCACGAGCTGAAATCCTCTAGATTAGTTGTCGAGTGAATCCGAGATGCAAGGGTGCAAGAAAATAACACGCGGTCGATTCGGTTCTTCTACTGTAGCCTGAATCAGGTTGATCATCCATGATCTGTGCCAGTCTGCTGTGTACTAGCTGAATGCCGTGGGCTTCTACAAGATCAGCGCCATTAGAGATCAATAATATCATACTGTCTTGAACACAGACCGAGGGCAGTGACAAATATTTGAACATGTGAAGGACTCATTGGGAAGAATGGGGCCCGGGAAGAGCGCATGCCATGATTGGTATGCTCAAAAGACCCGGACTGCATAGGGTGGATATCACAGCATTCATCGATGGTCGCAGGGTATGCAAGTGAGGGCATAACAAAACTAAACCCAGATGCAGGTCCCTAGATTACATGGGATTACATGGATTGAGCGACTCGAGGAGGTCCTTTCGAATGTGCAGAGAAAATACATAACGCTACTATAGCAGTT